TAGAGCAAAGCCAGACCACCAATGGGGACTTAACCATATACCTTTTAATACTGGGAACATAACAGGCATAAATCAGAGGGTATAGTGGACACTACAATGCCCCAAGGGGGCAGGATTCAACAAAGGTTAGACACTTACAATCATTGACAAAAACAGGGTTAACAGAATATAAAACACAAACAGCAGAACAAACAATACGGGTTGGTGAAATATAAAAAGGCACAAAATGCAAAAATGTCAAATGACAAAGAAATATAGGGCCTTGGTACTTGGAGGGGGGAGAAAACACAATGGCCCCTTTCCACTGCAAGAAGACTGGTTTCTAGTTAGCTCACTCATCCCAAGTCACCTCTGCTAGCACTTGAACCCAGATCTCCCACATGGTGGACAGAAATGCTGCCACACAGTCAGCACTAGTAGCACTGCTCCAGCCTGCTAGGGGTCTTGACCCTTCTGGAGCCCGTCCTCACATCAAGCTGCGTGGCCTCTGATTGGAGGAGCTGGAAGCAGAGCTGGCAACCCCTCAGGTCACTGCTCAGATCCTTGCTGGAGCTGGGGAGCCTCTCCTGCTGGCTGCAGCCTTTCCTGGGGGATCCTGGAGCCCAGTGGGGAGCCTCTCCTGCCGGCCACACGCTGCACTGCTGAGGGTCCCACTGCTGCCTGCAGGTCCTGCTCTTTCAGGCTCTTCCAGGGCACTGCTCCTGCCCTGCTGGCTCAGTTCTTACCAACTCTATGAAGCCCCTTCCTTGTTGTCCCTCACTGGTCTCCCCTGAGTCAGCCCACGCTGCCCCTTTTATCCCCCTCCAGGTGGCCCAAGGGGCCAATCGGGACACAGGGGAGTGAGTCTCTGGGGCCTGATTGGTGAGGAAAGGGAATCCCAAGTCCTCCAGTCATCTCTTGCCCTTTCAAAACCCCTGGGCTCAGTCACTGCCAGCTAGCCCGTCACATTTATTTTATTTTTCTCCTTGGAGCCTACCTGCCTGCCTATGCGGGGGCACCCGGTGCTTCCCTCCGTGGCTGTGGTGCCTCCAGGGACCGCAGGCAGGTGCCATCTGGGGATGCCACCGTGGAGGGGAGCATTGGCCCCCCCACAGTAGCTCAGTGGCAGCTCATCCCCTCGCCCCCTCCCTCCCCACCAGCGGAGAGGCAGGTAAGTATCGGGCCCCCACCCTTGTGTACACACCACAGGGGTTTAGTTTGGTTAAATTCTCCCTAAATTCAAGTGGTGGAAATGGTGGGTTTTTCAAAACCCACCATTTCAATTTAGGGAGAACTAAACCGACTTAAACCCCCATGGTGTGCACAAGCACCCTTATTTATTAAAAACAATATAAATAAATTATGATTCAGTAAACCATAAGAATTTACTCCTACATTCAGTCATGGAAGATACATATATAAAAATGGCTTAACTTATTTTAGAAAGCGTGCGATTAAGGCATGCAGGTATAGTATTAAAATGACCTTGTTGTCTGCTCCTTCAATAAGCTTTCACATGTGGGATTGTTCTGCAATATTGTATTTCAGCAGGCCTTGGGTAAAACATAAAGCAAGCAGGAAAGAAGGTTGTTTAAAGATAAATGGGAGTAAATTCTTATGGTTTACTGAATCATAATTTATTTATATTGTTTTTAATAA